AAACGAACAAATTATACTATGTCATGATAGACTTTGATATACCATGATGTAACACATTTTGATATACCATAACATGTTGTAATGTAGTATGATGTATCATAATAAAGCCTAATATGCTGGGGGGCCGGGTCCCCGGCTCCTTTTGCGGCACACTTTTCCAACATCCCCCCCCGCTTTCGGAGGGCCCGAAGGCGCTCCCCAGACGGTCCACGAGGCCTCCGGGACGGTCCAAGAGCGCGCCAAAACGCCCATTATGGTTTCTAGACGGCCCGAGAGGCCCCCCATCCTCCCCGAGAGGGCTCCGAGTGGACACTTATGAGGGCCGCGCTATGCAAACATCGCTCCATTTCTGAAGGGAAACGGGTATTTTTAACATTTGTCATTTTTGGTACGAGTAGCGTCCACAACGGCATCAGAGAACCCCAATATCGCCCCAGGACATCCCCAAAGGCCTCCAAGACAGCCCAAGAGGCCTTTTAGAATGCCCCACTACGTCCCGCAAGGGGGCCCAAGACCTCCCCAGAGGCCTCCAAGCTGGCCCAAACGGCTCCCAAAGCGCCCCTGGTTGTCTGGAAGATGGCTGACGACCGGGCTGAGATGGCTTCCAGACGGCCCACGAGCGCTCGAAGAGAGCCCAAGGCTGCTACGGCCACAAAGGCTTCCAAAACGGTCCGCGAGGCCGCCGACAAGGCCCCCCAAGGGCTGGGAGGTCTCCAGGAAACCCAAAACAGTGCCCAAACTAGTCTCCAAGAGACCCCGACCCCCCCCCGCAAGAGGCCAAACATTGTCCTGCGAGTGACTTCCAAAGAGACACAAGATACGTCCATGAGTCCTCTGGCCCACAACCCAGGCGTATTCCCATGATCGGCTCCAAACCACCGTCAAGGCTGCTCCAGAGAGCCCCGGATCGCCCCCAAGACGGTTTCGAGGAGTCTCCGAAGGCTGCAAGACGGGCATTTTGCGTTTGGGTTAGATGCTCATTCATTCAGGACTCAGGAGAGAGAATTCATGCGCGAACCAAGCATGCCCATTTCTCGTTTAAGTGCCGTGTGGGATAAATCATATTGGAGTATTTAGTTGCATGGCACTGCAGCCCAGGCTAGGAGCGCCTTTCACGCAGCAGTATCCAGCGAGCTGCAGCCCAAGGCAGCAGCTCATGTACAGTGCTGGCCGCTGGATCCCTGGCACCTTCATCTGAGCAAGCGAGAGAAGATCCCCGCGGCAGAGCTATCAAAGAGAAACAACATGGCGGGCGGACGGACGACGGACGAAGACGACGGGGCCGCCCATGGGGGAGGGGGCCTGGGGGGCCACAAGATGCCCCAATGGAGCTCCCAAAGGTCCTCCCAAATGACCCCACAGAGCCGTAAACGCAAAAACCATTCAGGTTTTCTCAGATTCAGTAAATCTCAAGCTCGTCTCCTTCGGATGGCTTCGGGAGATCTTCACATGGCGCCGAGGCTCGAGACGGCCCCACAAATTCGAAGAAGAGCCCAAGAAGGCCCCAAGCGGGCCCCAAGGCTTTCAAGGCAGCCCAAACAGGGAGATCCGCAAGAGACCCGTACACTTCAAGCCAGCCCACTTCATATTCAATATCTCCCCGCGCCGGCCCTGAACAGCTCGAGGCCCCCGCATAATCCCAAACAAGAGGAGACCGTCGATAATGACGAGAAAGGAAAAGCGAGGACAACCGAGAGAGATTGGAGGGTTAGCGAGGAAGGACGTATAAGAATATTGAAGGACGAGGTAAGGCAAGGCATCGAATCAGCCGGTCCGAAAATCGCGCACAATTAACAACGCCATGGCATGCGCTAGAACCAAGCGCGCGCGAAGTGCGCGCGCGGCTCTAGTTGAGGACGGGCGAGGTGGAGGGGGATGTGGAGGCCATTTCGAGAAACTCCCTCGCAGCCTGCAGGCTGACCGCGAGGGAGTTTCTCTAGCATCGCCGCGGGGGAGGGGGTCCAAGATGTGGTTTGCAAGTGACTCAGGCCCGTTTCGCCTGAGACATCCTCCGAACCCCAGGCTACTGCGAATTGCCCTGAATTAAGGTGCTTTGGCCCGTTTCGCTTGATACGTTCTCATGAATCTTGGTTCCAAGACGTAGACCGCGATGTGCTCAGGCCCGTTTCGCCTGAGACATCCTCGGAGTCTCTGGCTCCGAGAAGCCCTGACTTGAGGTGACCAGCGTTTTGTCGCTGCACGGTCGCTTCGGCCGTCGCCGCGATCTCGAGCCGACAGAGGCCGTCGGGATGTGGATTTTTGGCTCTTGCTTTCGCGCTGCCCTGGGGCCTCGGGCTTGCCAGGTGGTCAGGCGCTGGTGCGTGAGTTTTTTGTTCCTCTTCTTCCACTGTGCCCCGCCCGGCGCCTGGGTCTTGCCAGGCAGCCGTGCGCCTTCTGCTGCATCCAGAAGAGATGTGAAAAACAAAAGCTGTCGCGAGGCAGGTAGGACCAACAAAAACGCAGTCGTCTTTTCCTGGAAAGGGTATAAGCCCAGGGTTCTCTTTTTCCCGGAAAGGGCATAAGCCCAAGGTTCTCTTTTAGATGGTTTACCTCCGGGTTTGACTTGAGGTTTGCCGGCGAATTTCTTTTGCTGTAAAT